ACTTAAATAACAATTTTATCTCCTGGTAACATTAGAATACGAATAGGAATAAGGCATTAAAACCACAGCCTGTACTCTTGAGCTATTCCTTCTGTGTACATGTATCTGAAATGAATCTTGGCTTAACATTTGCCACATCAGTATTTTCTACCTCAAATTCCCACATTGTGCAATTTTAATGTACATGCAATGTACATTGCATTGTGCAACTTTTAATGTACAGTTTTAATGTACACGTACACTGTATTACTATGTAATACAAATGTAGTGAAGTTGGAGATGACTGTGCTACTCTGTACACAGAATTCAGTGCATATCATTCAAAACTCGAGGCATAGAAAAGCTGAAGACTTCTGCACCATTTTGGAAAAAATTTCAGTTGAAGTTAGTTTTAATAAAATACAAAAATATCTATCAGCAGAAGATCAGTATACCTGCACTGGAAAACCAGGGCATTTGGGGAAAGGAATCCTCAGTTAATCATGTTCCACTGTTCCGTTACCATACAAAGGCAGCTCGCTCTCGTAACATTCTGACACCAAAACGCTGCCACTCTCGCTGATATATCCACAGCTCCTGAGTTGTATCAAGACAGGCTAAAACGGCACCTCCTTTCCATGCAATTAAGCGGGGATCCATATCCTAAATTTAAAACACAGATTGTACACAATCAGTGGTGTAAATTTACATGAATTTTTCCAACAGTATTCACGACTGGGAATCTCAGGAATTACGGGAGAAGCTTTTCAGGAAAAAATAGTAACATATGGAAAGAATACTTAAGGTGTTTAGAGGTCACTTTTTTTTTTAAGATGCCTTCTAAGAAATCCTACCCTTTGCAATAGAGAATCTGAAGGTTTTACAAATTTTGCCTGATTAATACATAATATAACTCTCTTAATGTCATACTTTCTTTAACCTTGAAAATAATAAAAAAACCTTCACACAACTTCTTGCTGAGCAGGCAGGTTAACCTCACAGGGCAGTACTAACTGCTGCTGCAAGAACATAGCATTTAGCTAACAAATAATTCAGCGATCAATACTAGTAATACTTGTTATACTTCTAACTGTGCTGTGTTATGAGCTGAAAGCTCTCCTCAGTCTCCTCAGATATGTAAATGATCTGCAGCTTTGAAAGAATATATATTTTTTTAATATTTTCAAGATTTACCAATCATAGTTTATTAACCATCAGTTAACAGTATACCTTAGGTCTTGTGATGACTTCAACATTTTCAACAACTCTTCTGAAAGAGGGTGGCATTTTGTTGAGAATTCGGTGTTGAAGAAACTCTTGAGCTTTATGAAACATAAGGCCTCCTCCTACTACTAAGATGGAGCTGTACATCTTCTTTTTTGTATCATCGGATGCTGGAATGGATGGATATATAGAAATATATCAGGGTTTTCGAGTTAATAGGGCTTGTATTTGTATTATAAACAATTTAATGCAAGTCAAACTAGATAGAAGCCAGTACGTCTTTGCCTTTAAAATTAATTCTTGGAGACACAAAACATCCAGCTCAAGAAACCTTAACAAAGTTGCAAGTATAAGGAACAGTGTAGCTACTCTAGAGATGATGGAAACTTATGGATATACACATTACTTTGGTAAAATATAAGTGTTACCATAAATCCACACTGACCAACATGCATATTTTAGAAAGCTGCACAAATGTAGTTCTTACCACAGCAGTCAATACTATGAAGAATGGCTTTGTCAAGGCCTAAGGCTTTGCCTTCAAACTGAGAAATCGCTGTTTTCCTGGACGTGTGTGCAGTTAAAGGTTCCTCTGAATCATTCCCAGGCATCATACAATCACTCTGGGAAGATCCCAGTTCCACTTCTTGGGGGTAGATCCTCTCTGAGATGTCTGAAGCTTGGCCTCTCAAGTCTCCCTCAAACGCACCAGGCTTTGACATAGATTTTCTATCCGCTGTAGCTTTTGAAGACTTAAAAATGAGAAAACAAGCTGAACTATGAAAAAGGCAAAAATATCTTCAACAGGTTACAGAGCGATACAAAGACTTAACACCCCTGTACTTCTCATCACCTTTTTGCAGAGGAAGGTTAAGCACTGTATAGTTTCACTTTAATCCTCAAATTCTAAGTAAGGGTTTTATTTGGAACTCCCTCACATGTGTCAATGCCATAATAAAAAGCTCTCTTAGATTCTGAAAGTAAACAGTTCTAATTAAGAACTTCTCTACACATCCATACTTCCTTACTCTAAATTTATTTTTAATACTTCTGGCCCAGATAACCAGCTTTGGTTGGTGAGGTGAACTAACGAGTCCTGATTTTATTCCCCAATTGAATAGTACTTAATGAAAAATAAAATGAACATTCACACACCTGCTCCTGCTTACTTTGTGTGGCTAGCAGGTAATGTTCATCATGAGGATCCTCAGGGTCACCTTGTGATCTGTGTTGCAAAGTTGTCATTTTTTGTCCAACAATTCCAAAAGTTGCTGGATAAAACAGAGCCATTGGAGCCTGAAGAATGAGAGATTTAACACAGTTTTGCTACACAGTTTTGGGTGTCTTCAGCACTGTATAATTAAAAAACCCCACCAAAACGTACAGTTGTATATGTACATAGGTTTACTTACAGATTCTGGTATTTTACGATAAATATTCAAATGCAGTTTGTTACAAAATTAGAAAATTCAGTGGCGAGGTGAAAAACTTGCAAGAATAGCATTAATTTCTTGCCCTTAAAGGATAAATACCATCATATTTAGTTTAATCTATAACCATTCTGGCCAAAGCTAGTTAGAAAGTCTTGTGCATCCACTAGCGCTGCATTAGGCCCATTCATATATACGGGAATTAATTTTAAAATTATCAACAAGCATATGTTAAGAACAATCCATAAAATATGTGGTCTTAGTATCACTGAACCTATACAAAGTAAGGCCCTGAGCCTGAATGCTTAATATAATTCTTGTAATTTAAAAAAAAAAAAAAAAGTCACCTGTAATTTTTCATCTCCTAGTCGGAACTGGTATAATAAAGCTGGAGAATCTGGATGACGAATCTGGAACTCATGGTCTTGCAATCCAGAAATATCCTAAGGTCAAAAACAATGTAAAAAAAAAGAAAAGTAGTATATTTTATATCCCTCTATCAAGCTGCATCATTTATTTAAACTTCAGGAAATAACAAAAAGTAACAAAACTCTTCAGACTGTGAATTTTATTTACCTGCTCTTGAACTCTTTAAAAAGTCTTTTCCTTGTAGCACAATCTGCCAAAACAGCTTTCTACATGCCTAAGCCTCTAAAATGAGTGTTTGTGCAGAAAGATGTGCTGGCAGACCTTACAAAACGGAAGTTGAAAGCAGCAAATAAGCAGCTACTCTCAGCTTCTTTCAGTAAGAAGAACAAAGAAGCTACCTTTCTAAGGATTATTTCAACTAAAAGAAAGAAAACAAGTTACAAATACTTAAGTATAAAGCTTCTCCAGCTTTTGCCAGTATTCTACTATCGAGTACAATTTTACATTGTTCCATTTACAAGCAGTTGTAGGCACACAAAAGGGTTCCCAGAGTAGCATTCTGTAAAGCAAAAATTACTTGGAGTATATACTCTTTTCCCTTCTCACCTGGTCCAGGTGACAAAATGTCTCCTTTAGGTGCTGAAGCAGCAGGCAGTCCAACTTGTTAGTTAACTGACAGTCTCGGTACGGGAATCCTGCGCGTTGCATAAGCCAATAGAAACACCTTGACACATCAGATCCTCCGTATGCAAGGCACAGCCTAAAGCAGAGAGCAGAAAAAGGATTATCGATTTGCTGAAATCCTGGCCTTTTACAGAGGCATATACAGGAACACAGGCAACATTGCAGACATGCTCTGATCTCCACACAGTCTGCAGAGCACAGTATCAGTTCAGCCTGTTCTCTTCCTCAAAAGATGTCAGAATCCTTTAAGGTTCACACCTTAACATCATGACTCTGTCATGCAGGTCACAGTAAAAAACCTTGTATTGGTAAAAAAAAAAAAATCTTGTTTTTTAAGTCTTTGGTAAGCAAGTAAGTACATGTTTATAATAATTCTGCTTATTAAAAGATACCTGGTGTTGCGATGGGAAACACCATCTTCTACACAGCAAACACTTGTCTTCTGATCTCCCACATCTACTATACATGCACTGCTTAAACCACTTCCAAAAGTAGCGCAGACAGACTCCTGGTGTACAACAACTCCTAGCAATGTGAGAAGAAATTATATCCCAATTCATGCCAAGCTCCAGAGACATGTTGGTGACATTTAAAGGGCATCTTAATATCTTTTAAAATCTACTAATAGCCTGACTCTGCACTGAATATTTGTACAGTTTATGAAAATCGGGGATATGAAAAAGAATATATTTTTACATAAATATATATATAGACTTTTTTATATAAAAAGTTTATGAAAAAGGGGATATGCTTACAGATTTTTTGTTGGGTAGGCCCTTAAAGTTAAGAGTGGGGTGAACGCCTATATTCAAATATTTTTTTGCAAGTTTAAAAATACTGTCTCCAGATCTTGTAACCAGTATTGCAAAGTCTTCATAATCAGATGCATATGAAGTATTTTTCTATTTTTTTTCTAGTTTTAATCAAGTATCATTACTATTAGCATTTTAGATATTTTCTTTAAATAGTTAAAAGACAAGGTAAAATTTCAGTGCATGTGAGCAAAATTCAGATTCTCATCCAGTTTTTAAGCCTTGCATACCTAATACGAAAAAGGAATTTACAGCACCAAAGGTACCACTACTCTGATTATTTCAAATTAAGTATGCTCCGTACGGTTGGGTTACAGTGCCTTCCATAATAATTCGCTGTGTTTTCTCTAAATCAGGGAAAGATGGCTAAGATTCAGCAGTACTTTCCAGAAGTTACACTACTTATCATTAAGTGCTTGCTAATGTATGGTTTTACCTGAAAAGCCCATCTTCATTAGGATCATATTTACCAGTTCTTTCACATGTTGCTTGTTATAGATGTCTGGAATTAGTAAAATGCATCTGTAGTACTGAAGATAAGAAGAGTTAGTTAAAGCCAGCTCTTAAGTTTCTCTTTACATTCTTACGGAAAGGGGGAAGGGGTTTAATAATTTAAAAAACGAGTTCAGAATAAGTACCAAGTTAAGAGATTATAGCTCACTAAAATGTTTTAAATAACATCAGATATGGGAAAAACACTTGCTTGGCAACAAGCAGAAATTAATCAAATATTAGGCACCCATTCCTTAGTTGCTTCTGTTTTAGTTAAAAAAAAAAATCCCAAACTGACTGAAATTTCTATAATGGGATTTCCAAACCTCCCTGGTAGAAATTCTATAACATTTTTTGTCTTAAAGACATGCACAAAATCCCACATAACGTCTTAGGAACTGTGCTCACCAGCAGAAAGAACGTATTTAAGAAAGCCACCAGTAAGAAGCTAACAAGAACAGGAGGTTGCTTCTCTTTTATACTAACATTTACAGAAGTGGACACAGTGCACATTGTTGTGCTCACAGCTCACCTTTAGGTCTTTCAGTGGTATTTCCAGATATTTTTGTATTGCATGTGACCATATAACTTCAAGGTCTGCTAATACTGCAGTGAGGGAGCCACCAGGTCCTGCGTGGAGATTCAACTGTCCTCTTCTAATAGGCCAATGTATATTATAAGAATCTAGTGGATTAACGTAGAGTGCCTGAAAATATGAGACAATGTTCTGTGTATTGCTTTTCCCAAAAGATTAGTAACAAACACTAGAAAAATATTTGAGAAGCAGATACAAGATGGCATGCAGCAGCACTCAGACCAATGTGACAGCCATACAGTGGATTTTTTTTTCATAGGGCTTGATTATAGAGAGTCAAAATAATAAAAAAAGACATTTTATACATAGTTAAATTGTTTGAATTTTCATATTTACAGACATCAACCAAACATAATGGTATATTTTTCCACTATCTCAAATTAGTAACTAAAATAAAAGACTCTTTGAAGCTCATGAATACCTAATTACTCAGCAGTGATTCCATGTCCTGATCCTTTCATCAGTTTCCTACCTTTTCTCTCAGTTACACCACATACACAGAGTTCTCACGTGGTCCCTGCAGAAACACTGATTTATAGCAGCAAAGGATCCAGGATATGTGTCAGGCAAATAGGAGAAACTGTCTGGCCTTGCTGAACAATAATAAATATTCACTTAGGCTATAGTCTCATGTATTGCTTGACTAAATTTGCATTGTTCAATACATGCTAACATAGAGCAAACTGCTCATCACATAGCTACATTAAAACGTAATACAAAGCTTCATTTCAACAGGAAAATGAATCTTACCTCTTCTCCTACCAAAACCTCAGGATGATTTGATGTGTTTGTCCACTTGGCTCCAGAGCTGTGATCTAAAATAGCTGGCCGCATCTGTCTGTTGTATGACCTGGCCTGAAATGAAAACATTACCCTCTATGATTACCCTCACAAAACAAATGCTGTTGGTAAATGTTTTAGCAGTCACTTTTTATGCATAAAAGAAAAAAGAAATACATTCCGCACCCGAAACTCAAAGAACCATTTTAAATCTTTTCTCAGATCTTCAGAGTTAGGTTACGCAACAGTGCTACCTATATGTGGGAAAATATCGGAAGATTGGTGAGCAGGACTGTAAACGTGCTCAAGTGAATTGCAGCTGGGATGTCAAAAGACACATCTGTCATTCTAATTGCTGTCTATCCTCGTGTGTTTGAGCAGTAGAATATCGCACTCAGGTAATGCAGGTCTGTGATAGACTCAGAGGCACCTTACTGAACATGCTTGAGATTCCTGCCCCTCTGTGCAAAAGATCAAAGCACAGCGGAAAATTACACCTGCAAAAATCCCTGATATATAAAAGTGAAAGCAACAGGTTTGAAAACTTTTCACTCTCTAGCACGCACTTAGCTCCATGGTGCTTGCACTCCCACCCATATGCCTCTGCCTGGGGGCTGCTGCAGAGATCCCCCCAGGTGCCAGAGGTAACAATAACTCTACTCTTTGCATTTCATTCATGGTTTTGTGGTTGTTAATGTGTCCTGCCTGTGTCATATTTGCTCTAGAAGGATACCTACTCTTGTCCATTAAAACATAGCATCAAACCATATGGCTATATGAATGAACAGTTTAGTAAAATCTTTAAAACGAGTTACCTGATCAGGTGACACTGGTATACGTCTTGCGCCATTTGACATCTTTTTGGACCATATTGCTTGGTCCACCATTTTAAGGCCATTTTGTCTCTGCTCAGTACTTTCAGGTTTCTAAACAAAACCCACAAATATGCAATGTAAATAACTTAGTTTCCAACTACATGGCTGTATATTGGTATACTGAAGCTATTATTAAACAATGAAATCATTACTGTAGTTGATGGACTGTAGAAGGGACAAAGGTCTGTACAATGCAAAATGAAAATATATTTATTTTTAAAGAAACTCTTTTTTATATTAGAGAGTTCCCAATACCTATTTGTCTAAGTCAGCTTGAACCTTTTAACTGATTGTAATGGCTACTGGACTTCATCTCCAGAGTGATGAGCTCAGGACATTATCTATTTAACTATGAAAATATTAAATAGGAGCAAAAATGTTTAACTAGATCTCAATTGTTTAAAGGTGAGGTTTAATATTAGAAACATTCATTTGATAAGTGATTTTTTGGTACAGATTCAAAACACAAGATCACTACATGTATATTTTTAAACAGATTAGACTGAAGTGGCTGGCTGTGTTATCCAAGCATACAAAACCACTGGTAAGCAACACGTTCGGCAGAGGAGCTGTCCAGTTCTAGGTTGTCATTCCATCAACAGAAACGCTGCGTGTGATACCAGAGCACAGAGCAGAGACATCAGCAAGAGCAAACCCTTCACTCATCAATTTCTTAGATCTACAGCGCCTAGTGCAAACCTACCGACATCGGCAAGGTTCAACAACAGAACACAAACACGTAGTTAAAACCGCCTGTTTCTCGCCCCGGCTTACGT